TCAGCAGGAAAAGTCAGGATTTAGCTGCCAAGAGGTATGAGAGGTGTGGAGTCTGTCTTTCTCAATATGGAGTTAACCCTTGAGCATTACATCGGTGCTTCATCCTATTAAAATCAGCACACAGGCCTCCCTAGGTCACCAAAGCTCGCTCTCTGCAGTCACAGCCCATCAGTCATCCATACTCTGCCGGGAAGGATGCATAAATGACGAGCACTTTCAAAGATACCGTGAATCGAATGTCCCGTGGGTAGGAAGGGGGAGAGACAAAGCATGCACTATCACATGGACTGCTTAATGGTAATGTAGATAATAAGATACAAAAAGGTGTATTTTAATCTTACATTTCATGGGGAGGAAACAGGCCAGGAAAGCATATGGCTTTGCTCATGCGGGAGACTCTATTGCTGATACACTTTCACAGCCTTCTGCAGTCCCTTGGAGGCATAAACATAAGAGTAGTTGCATTCAGTTTTTGGAGAATTGTATTAGAGCCTTCTCTGTGCTCTTTGCAAATCGAAGCCAGCCAGCTGGCACAAAGGGAAACAGGCTATGCTCTACTTCTTTGCCCCCCACAGCACACTGAATCATTTCTCCCAATTAAGGGAAAGTTTATTTTAAAAAGACTTCGGGGATCCCTTTAGATCTTTGGAGAAAGCTAGCTGTACCATGTTTACTTTGTACCTCCTTGAAATATTACCCCCCACACACACACTGTCATTTTTCTTAATATAATGATTTATTTAAAAGGGTTCCCAAAGGTGATTTGTATTTCAGCTGTGTGCAGCCACAGGGGCACAGGTACCACAATATTTTTATACCAGTAGGAGTGTGTGGCAGCTGATGTTACTGCTGATGCTGCCAGGGGACAACAGTGAAACTGGTGGGGGTCTCAGTACAGATACTTGTCAGGGGAAACGTCAGGCCAGCGCTCAGCATGGGCTTCAGGTGCACTGTGGGGAAGGGCATCCCTCGCTAGCGGATTCATTAAATCAAGACCTGCTAGGCTTACAAGTTCAGGTGAGTAAAGCTGAGGTATGAGCTCCATATGCAGTATGTCTGGCATGAGGGCTGCTCTGAGTTCTGCTGCAACCTGGTGGAGAGAGATAAAGGAGCTGATGGAAAGCACAGTAAGAAAAGAAAAGGAAAATAAAAAGGGGAAAATGTCTGTCTCCTTAAACGTCTGTCCTTCTGTGGAAATGATGTGGTGATAGCTCTGTCTTGTTATTGAGTTTTCTCTAAAAATAAACTGGGATGTTATTTGAGCTCTTCCAAAATGTAACATGCAGAAAGTACAAGAAGAATTAGGACAGAGCAGTGAAGGAGAGAGAGAAAGGTCAGCAGACTGGCTGCGTTTGGGACTGCGGCTCCTCAGATTACTTGGTAATGCGTCTTAGAGCAAAAACTCTGGTTCATCTGGCAGCAGACTAGCAAGCATCCCTGAAGAGCATTAGACTGACCTTTCTGATGACTAGGGTTTTCAGAAGTTGAACAAAACTGCGAGTGGGACATAACCGGCTGGAGGAAGAGGAATGAATTCAGGATTGTTACCCAGCACACCCAAATAAAAATGTCTCTCAATTTTCCCAGCTTCCTCATGTTCAACCTCTTTGCTTCTCCAAGAAGTTTTTTATTTCAATTTCTTTGGGTTTGCTTCTTACACGTGACAAAGTATTGATCTTTCTGGAGTGCCCTGACAGTATTTAGTTTCCCAAGTTTAGGTATTAAGGTTTGGCCTAAAATTATAGAACTTTGCAACAGAAACACATAAAATTTGGATGTGATTCTGCTTGATGGCTAGCAGCACCAGAACAAAAGATTAAATGTGTAATCTAAGCGAAACGCAAAGCTTGTTGAATGGGAACTGACTAAAATTGGACTGTAAAACCCGAAGGTGCAGACTGCAGAAGGACCGCTAGATGACGGTAATGTAATTCCTACAGCTGCAGCTACTCCTGGAGCTCCTCCAGGAGATGCCTGGGGTTTCCTAACCTCTCGGAAAGTAAAATGTTTAACTGAACCTTCTCACTTCTCCCACAGCTCACCTGAATGCCTTCATCAACCAGAAAGCCTGCAGCCACGACTTGAACTTTTACACATGGGGGGTTTGGCCAAATCGGTCCGAAGCTCCGCTGCAGGAGCAGGGAAGGTTTTCCGTTCAGCCAGACAGTCACAAGGGGCTGGCTCTGCTCCTGTTTGCAGCTGGTATATCACCCTGAAAACCATCTTAAAAATAATTGAACACTTCCCTAAAGTTACTTTTCCATGAAGGCAATTGATGTAGTTGCCGCAAAGGTCTTGCACAACCGTGTTCTCCAGCCCGTTCAATTTGATAACCGGACACAGCATAATCTCTGTACTTGGATTTGACCAAGTTATTAATTTCTCCATGCCAGCACATCCTTTAGATGCATATTACGTGGGGAGAGGAGTGGGGGAGGAAAGAAACTGAATAAATTCATCCTAGGTTTCTGCTGGGCTGGTGTACTTGTAAAAGCAGGAAGCAAGGTCAGATCCTGAATGACAAGTGGGCTGCAGGGAATATAGTCCAGCTGATGATTCCAGTTTTGTGTTCCTAATTGCCAACTGCTGTTTCATGGATATTCCTCAAAATACTATTCCTCATCTGATGAGGACATCTACATCAATATTCCTAATCTGATGAGGAATAGTGCTCGTGTTAGCAGTTGTGCTTTATAAACACTTTGTTTCAATGGGTCAGTTTAAAAAAATAGGCTTATGAACACAGACTGACATGATGTGCTACACCCAATGAGAGAAATTACTGAGGAGGGAGAAATAAAAAATCAGAATATTAACGCTCAGGAAAAAATGTGCACACGCTATGAAGATGAAGAAGACAGGAGCAAAGGTAAGAGGACTAAACAATGGAAAAGGGAAAGATGATCTAGTAGCCAAACCACAAGGCTGTAAGTCAGAAGCTGCAGGCTTTTTGAGCTGTTTTCTCACACACCCAAACTCCATGACTTCAAAGTCCCTTTAAAACTTTGCCTGAAGGGCTGTCACTTTTGCAAAGGGACCTGTATCAAAACACACACTTAGAGGAATAAAGACACACTAACAGTGCTGGCTTGTATTTGTTTCTTGTCCTTCTAAAACATGCTTGAAACACAGCTGGGGTCTTATCATTGTAGCAAAACACAGTTGTTTTTAATGGTGATACAATAGAAATAGGTCAGAGCTGAGTCATTTGGCCCTGGCTCGTTTAGAGGCTAGACATGTCACTAGTCTCACCCTTTGAAAATGTCAGTTCTGAAAGCTGTGGAGGAGAGGCACTGCAGAAATACAGGGTTATGATGCCACACTGCCAAAGGAAGATAAACAGGGAATGAAACAGACCCACTGTTGCATTAAATATTTAATTTAGCATCTGTTTTAAACTGCTATCAAATGAAACAAGTTACGTTTTCGTCTTCATGTAGAATGTGTCTGGTGTTAAAGCACAAACCAGTTTCAAAGTTAGGTTCTCTGATTTTTAGATAACATTTATTCCATCTGGTTGTGAAATCCTAAAGGATATACACTCAGCTACCTGACCAACTAATATTTTGGTTAATCAGAATGTCTGTAATTCATAAAACTTCAGCTTTCTAAGGGGAAAAGGGTGATTTGCAGTCACTTCTGTTACTTTGTCCATGTTACCAGCAGTAATTTCATAATGCTATTATTCAATAATAGCAGTGGGGTCATTGCTCTCATTGTCTATTAGAAATCACCATTAGCAAAATGATTAAAATATTAATTTTAAATGCTATTTTCTCAGTTCCTGTGTACAATTATATCTCCTTGGATATTTTTGTTCACCCTTAAGTGACTTTCCCATTTCTTTCCTTGCCTTTTGCAACCATAAAATATGTATTACCTGTTATTGTATTCTACATCAATAACATAGTGATGATTTGACCAAATTTTTATGATTAATTTCCTAAAATATCAATCATTTTGAATCCTTAGCATTTCTGGCCAGCAGGACCTTTCCTGAGGTGAATGTTGTATTTCTGTGTTGAGGAAAACATCTTCTATGCCATATCCTTGCAGCCTGCCGAGATTTACACGTGTTTTTTCATGAATCTGCAAAAACAGGAAGTGGGGAAGGAACAGCAAAATAAATTTCTACTTTTGTAAGACCTTTTTTTTTCCTTTTCTTTTGCACTTTCACTAGGGAAAGTAAGAGTCTGAATGTCAAATCCTAGCAACTAAAGGAAGAATCCCCTTACTCACCCAGCAAGTAATGCATAGGCAACAAGAGTGGGAACTACAAAATGCAGATGTGTCTTGTATCTTCCCACAAATGCTGTCAGAGCTGGCCCAGGAAGAACACTGCCAGGCAAAAGAGGAGAGCGGATTTATTTTATCTAGCTCAGATGTCAGCTTTACTCCCGAGTTTGAAAACATCACTGTGATCTAGAGAGCGTGTAGGTGGTAGGTTTGTCTTTCTCGCTCTCCCCAACTGCCCCTAACTTGTGTCTCTGTTATTTCCCAAGTACGATGCTGGCTGCGGAGCAAAATGTGGCCTCTGTCCAACAAATCAATCTGCAACAGTCTTAGTACAAAGCTCACCCATCCCAGGACTATGGAACCCAAAACAGTATTCCACCCATCTCCCATCTAGATCCCAGAAGCTGAAATGATTTGGGTAAGTAGGACCTGATGAAGAAGATGACAATCAGTGCCATTTATCAGAAAATACATGGAGGTTCTGGACTTCTGCTGTGCAGGGCCAGCATGGCCCCCGCTGGTTGTGGATGCCTACAGCACACGCTGCTTTGCCTCTGAAACCGTTGCTCCAAAACAGCTCCCATCTTTGCTGATGATTACTCGGGGGGTGATTTGGCTTCCAAGACTTTCAATCGACTCATAATTAGTGTAATTTATCCAACTATTGATATTACTCTGAGCAAAGTCCTGTTACCGATCAGTGTTCTTACTTAATTTAGTTGACCTAACAGGACTGAATGTCATCAAATATTATGTCTTCCGCAATGTGGTAAATGTACTCAAGTCTCCAGTCACAGAATCATGAGATTATGTGAAAACTAGAGTTTTAAGGTGAAAGCCATCTGATTATAATTGTAAGCTAAGAACACAGAACCATTTAGGTTGGAAAAGACCTTCAAGGTCATCGAGTCCAGCCGTTAGCACTACCAAGTCCACCGCTAAACCACGTCACTAAGCACCACGTCTACACGTCTTTTAAATATCTCCAGGGATGGTGACTCAACCATTTCCCTGGGCAGCCTGTTTCAATGCTCGACAACCCTTTCGGTGAAGAAATTTTCCCCGATATCCAACCTAAACCTTCCCTGGCACAACTTGAGGCCATTTCCTGTCATCCTATCGCTTGTTACTTGGGAAAAGAGACCGACCCCCACCTCACTACAACCTCCTTTCGGGTAGTGTGTAGAGGGCGATAAGGTCTCTCTCCCCTCAGCCTCCTCTTCTCCAGCCTAAACCCCCAGTGCCCTCAGCCGCTCCTCAAGAACTTGTTCTCAACGTGTGCCTCGAGACCTTAAAAGACCGCGCTTTTTTTT